GGGGGGGGACAGATGTGGAGTACATTGAAGGGGAAAGTGAACAGGCTGAGGGATGGAGGCATCAGGAAGGGAGGAGGTTGTACATTATAGAGGGGAGGGAGTCCGCCCAGCCTTCCCACTCCCCCCTGCCTCCCCTGGGACAGCTGCCTCTCAGCCTCCTGCCGGAGGATCTTTCACATTCAGATTTGTCTGCGCTTTGGCTGAGAAGAAGTACAGGCTGTGCGTCTCGTGGATGACACCAGACACCGGTCCTCTGTGGGATATTACGTCCTGGATACAGCGGGACCGCGGCCGGGTACCCTGGGCTGTTGCTGCGCTTTTCTCTTCTCGGGGAGTTGTGTGCGCTGACGGAGAGAGGAGCCCCCGTGTACATGTTCTCCATCCAGGATACGTTCTCCAGGGGGGCACTAAGTATGAAGGAGGAACCTATACCCGCCGGATTGTCCTCTGTCCGCTCCTGGATGCACTCCTCAGGAATAATGGACTCCAGCACCGCTGCACAGAGGTAAGTGCCCCAACCCCGCACCACAGACAGGGATGTGTGAAGTGTCAAGACAGGTGACACACGTCATATGGGAAGGGGGGGGGTGGGACCAGAGGATGAAGATAATCATCTGCTCGAGGTTGGCTATCATCGGATGCTGAGGAGAGGACTTTACAGAACTTTTGTCACAGTGCCTGGATCCCATCACTCCTTCAATCACTGACTGCAGATGTACCAACCACAGAGGGAAGACTTGTCAATGGAGCTAGAGACATTGTCCCAGTGATGCTGAACCTCAGGACATGTCCCACTGACACTGTGACCTCAGGACATGTCCCACTGATACTGTGACCTCAGGACATGTCCCACTGACACTGAACCTCAGGACATGTCCCACTGATACTGTGACCTCAGGACATGTCCCACTGACACTGAACCTCAGGACGTGTCCCACTGACACTGAACCTCAGGACGTGTCCCACTGACACTGTGACCTCAGGACGTGTCCCACTGACACTGTGACCTCAGGACGTGTCCCACTGACACTGTGACCTCAGGACGTGTCCCACTGACACTGTGACCTCAGGACGTGTCCCACTGACACTGTGACCTCAGGACGTGTCCCACTGACACTGTGACCTCAGGACGTGTCCCACTGACACTGTGACCTCAGGACGTGTCCCACTGACACTGTGACCTCAGGACGTGACCCACTGACACTGTGACCCCAGGACGTGTCCCACTGACCCTGTGACCGCAGGACGTGTCCCACTGACACTGTGACCTCAGGACGTGTCCCACTGACACTGTGACCTCAGGACGTGTCCCACTGATACTGTGACCCCATGACATGACCCACTGATACTGTGACCCCATGACATGACCCACTGATACTGTGACCCCATGACATGACCCACTAACACTGAACCTGGAGACATGTTTCTTTGACACTGTGACCTCATAACATGTTTAATGGACAATGATCCTCAGGACATGTCCCACTGACACTGTGACCCAATTACATGTCCCACTGACTCCATGACCTTAGAACCTGTCCCACTGTGAGGATGGACTAATTCAGGACATGAGCGGTTCTCTGTTTTCATTGCCTGGGACAGTCAGACAGAGCTTTATATGAAGTTTTCCTAGTGAGCGCCGTACTCTGAACACCTCCGTCACACCCCCTCTGTGAATGGGTTGGGGGTTCCAGCTGCTCCCTCATAGATGAGAAGTAAAACCTGTATTTGTGTCAGTGATGAGACCTCTTGCCTGTGGTGTAACAGTGTCAGGACCTCATCTTCACTTTGTTCTATGAATTTCTCTGATACCCGTTACCGTACAACACGTCAGTCAGTACCGGTGTATCAGTGTGCTCGGGGGAACCACTGAGTCATTTATGGTCTATCATTGTGTTTGAGTCATATATATGGTATATCAGTGTGCTCATGGGTAACGTTGGGTCAGTGCTGGTATATCAGTGTGTTCAGGGGTAACATTGGGTCAGTGCTGGTATATCAGTGTGTTCAAGGTTACCACTGAGTCATTGCCGGTATATCAGTATATTTGGGGTTAGCACTGTGTTGGTGCCGGTATGACAGCGTGTTCATTGCCTCCAGTTCAGATATCTGTACAATACGGGGAGGATGTAGCGGTGTATCCCGTCAGTGCGCTGTTGCAAATTCACTTTTTTATTTCTCAGGACAATCTGTATGTTGTAGATGCTAGTAGAGAAAGGAGTCAGAACCTCTGATCGCTGTAATACATCCTTGGGTCAGAACCTCTGATCACTGTAATACATTGGATCGGTCAGAATCCCTTATCACTGTGATATATTGAATGGGTCAGAACCTCTGATCACTGTGATACATTGGATCGGTCAGAATCCCTTATCACTGTGATATATTGAATGGGTCAGAACCTCTGATCACTGTGATACATTGGATGGGTCAGAACCTCTGATCACTGATACATCCATGGGTCAGAATCTCAGAGAATCTGACCCATGAATGTATCACAGTGATCAGAGATTCTGACCGATGGATGTATCACAGTGATCAGAGGTTCTGACCCATCCAATGTATCACAGTGATCAGAGGTTCTGACCCATCCAATGTATCACAGTGATCAGAGGTTCTGCCCCATCCAATGTATCACAGTGATCAGAGGTTCTGACCCATCCAATGTATCACAATGATCAGAGATTCTGATCCATCAATGTATCACAGTGATAAAGAATCTGACCCATGGATGTATCACAGTGCTCAATCACTGTGATACATTGATGGGTCTAAATCTCTGATCACTGTGATACATTGATGGGTCAGAACCTCTGATCACTGTGATACATTGATGGGTCAGAACCTCTGATCACTGTGGTGCATTGGATGGATCAGAATCTCTGACCACTGTATAGAAATACAGGGAAACTCTGTATCTATATACCTATCCCTATCTACTTATACAAATAATAAGGGTATGAGGTATCGCAGAATATATGTTCATAGTGACACTCATTAATAAGGAAGAGGAGATTATTATTTTTGATGGAAATATTATTATTATTATGTATTATTTATTAGAAGAACTGATTTTTAAAACTTACAAATAAAAAAGAGTGATCCTATAAGCTCTCTGATGGTTGGGACATGATTCAGAATAAAGATACATTGTAGTGATTCCCTATTAGAAGCGGCCACATATAACAGTTCAATTTTCTCTGTTTGGTGTAATAACTCTCCATCAGACTTTTACAATGTTGGAATATTTCTGGTTCTCTAGTTAACCCCTACACGACCCGACCATTGCAAGCTCTGCCCCGTGGCTTGCTTCTCTTGTACCGTGCTGGCTTTTAAACCTGGCCATACACTGGTAGATTCTCGTATGAACTTTTATATTAAAAAAAATCTGGTTAGAACATTCGATAACGCCACCAGAGACTTGACGATTGTCGCTCAAAATTTCCTTCGCTTTGAACATTTCACGATGGAAAGAATGGAGTTTCCCAAAAGAAAACCGCATGCTGTACACTGTTAGAATTTGGTTCATTTGCAAACATTTTCCTTTGATATTTTTTATATGACTGCAGTCCAAAATTATTGTCAAATTGACCCCATTAACTATAAGAAAGTCGAATGAGTGTTCCCAAAACACATTGTCTTGGTGTACGGCTGGCTCTGACGGAGCCCGATGCCAAACCTGCTTCCCGAGCTAGCGGGCTGTGAACACGAGAGCGAATGGCAGCATGCGGGGTCGGAAAAGATAAGACATGTTTCGAGGATGCTGGAAAATCCTTGTGGATTTAAAGGACTGATTCATAAAAAAATGGAGAAAATGAGAACAATGTGGAATTTAGGAGGGGGTTGTGATTGGCCGATGTGGGGTACAACTCCACATTGCGCACCCATTTTATTTCGAGGCTTTGCAATGAATTCGCTGAACTACGAAGAATTATCGTTATGACCCGGCAGCCATCACTGAGGTTTAAACTTTCAGATGAGACATGTCATTTTCCAGGACAGGATCTGATCAGATTGGTAGCTGTGGGAGATTGATGGTGATTCTCAGTACTTTACAGGGAAAGGGGGTAAAGGGCCATCAGAAAACAGGGAGAAAAAAAAAAAAAAAAAAAAATATATATATACACACACACACACACACACATGCACTTTTGGAAAATAATAGAGAATACTATTCACACACATAAAAATAAACTCCGTTTCCTCCTTTATGTTACAAGAAAGTGAATTGAGTCCAGAAATATCTTCTTTTTTTTATCTTGCGGTAAAGCGTTACAATTAAACTTTCTAGATTGTACTCCAATACAGTCAGCACTCTCTCTCTCCTATTGCACCGAGTTAGTGATGTGTACGTTACCCTATACATCTCTGTGTACCTCCTGGTCTATATCACTTGCATTGTACAGTGCCACTGCAGAAGATGGCGCTATATATACAGTAAATCGTAATAATGGGTATCGGCAGCTCATGGCTTGGTGGAACATTATGAAACCATGTACACACCACTTCTGTGATTGATATTACTGCTGCTGAAGCCGAGTAATCAGCAGTGGTAACTGATCATTTGTTTCATGTGTTCTGCTTGATTTTTCTGCCATTGCAGTAGAGTAGAATGTGTTAGAGTGATAGAAAGACATTACTCCATAGAGATGGTGAAATACTGTGTGTCTTTCCTGTGGACAGGTTCTCTTTAAATTGAAGTTTAAATTAAGATATTGTGAGCTAACTACATAGGAATAGTTTATAAAATGTGTGTTGTTAAAAGGAAAAAGGCAGACAGAGTAGAACAACCTTTCTCAACCAGGGTTCCTCCAGAGGTTGCTAGTTGTTCCTTGAGCGATCAGCAATTGGAACATTGTTCCCACTAACTACCAATGTAAGAAGAATCTTTCGAATAGACCACAAGGGAAGGGTGTCCTCCTTCTAATGACCCCCGATATAAGGGGGCCCGTCTCTGACTGACCACCACTATAAGGGAGACCTTCTCCCAATGACCCCCAATATAAGCGAGTCCTTCTCTGACTGTCCACCATTATAAGGGAGACCTTCTCCCAATGACCCCCAATATAAGCGAGTCCTTCTCTGACTGTCCACCATTATAAGGGAGACCTTCTCCCAATGACCCCCAATATAAGCGAGTCCTTCTCTGACTGTCCACCATTATAAGGGAGACCTTCTCCCAATGACCCCCAATATAAGCGAGTCCTTCTCTGACTGTCCACCACTATAAGGGAGACCTTCTCCCAATGACCCCCAATATAAGCGAGTCCTTCTCTGACTGTCCACCATTATAAGGGAGACCTTCTCCCAATGACCCCCAATATAAGCGAGTCCTTCTCTGACTGTCCACCACTATAAGGGAGACCTTCTCCCAATGACCCCCAATATAAGCGAGTCCTTCTCTGACTGTCCACCATTATAAGGGAGACCTTCTCCCAATGACCCCCAATATAAGCAAGTCCTTCTCCCAATAACCACCAATTTATGGAGAACTCTTCCCATTAC